GAATTCTGTTAATACTCCAGTGGTTCGGAGAATGTGAAAAGTAAAAAACCAGGACCACCTAATCAGGCTTCTGAATTCATATTTAAGAAACTGAGGAAGCAAGTCCTGTAAAATACTGAACATTGCACAGTTTCCACTGATTAACAAACAAGCAACACCACATTTATTTACATGTCTGACTGCAAATCCTTAAAATACCTCGGAAAAGCAAAATCTTTGCAATTATAGCAGGAAAATGCACTATCTGCACAAAGTTTATCCACAGTTGTCTCTATTGTAATTGCAGCATTTGTACATGTACGGTTGTGAATCAGGAAAATAAACTGGTACTTTCATAGAGCACATCTCAATAAAGTGGTGCTTGCATTCACACAACTTGCTTCGTCTCACCCTACACGGCGAGTTCACCTGGTGCAAACTTCCCTGATCACTGTGAGCTCAACACAAGAAATGACAGAGCAGTCTAGCAGAGGGTAGACAATTTCACATTAGCAGGTTACAAGTGCTCCGTGCTTGGGACATTTTTTTCTTAATAAATTATCAAAGGTTTTTACACTACTTTGAGCTTCTTAAGGGAAAAAAGAAAGCTGGTGTTTCAAAAAGATAGTATCTGTGAATGTGATAGTAATACTTACAATTGATCCTTAGGTTTTCTACAGCCATGTAGAAGACTCAAGTTAAAGAAAGTAAAAAATTTCTACATAAAAACTGGCAATTAAACAAAAAAATGAAATAAATCACATACATAAATAGCACAGATTAATTAAAATTTGGAACTGAAATCCCAAGTGTTTAACTGGAACTTACATGTAGTTTAATGACACAGTTTGTAACATAAGATTTTACTTTTGTCAGGTATATGGGTAGGAAAAAAGTGTAACTAGGCATCCTATTTAATAAAACTGAATAGCAGTATTATAGAACTTATTGATCAGTTGATGACAGGACAGAACTTCACTTTTACTCTTTCTTTTTTTTAAAATCCACCCCAATCTTAAACGGTAACAGGAAGTTTCTCAGAAGTCCCTGAGGTACCAAACGGTTGCATTTGAGAAGGGAAGGCAGGAGAGGCAACTTTCTTTCCTGTCATCAACACATGCAGAAGTCACACAGTATGATGTAGAATGAAGGCATAGTTTCCATTCTGTCATGGCTAAAGGGATCATAAGAGTACTTTGATCAGTACATGGATTCATACCGGGACTTTAACGACTACAGTAAGAAGCTGTAGAAGACATTTCCAAAAACAACCAGAAAAGCAGTACTTGGTGTAAAAGTATTGCACTGTATTAACTGTGTTCCACAACGTGTTTCTGCAATGGTTGTACTTTCCTCTTTGCTTCGATCCACTGAGAAGTCCACTGCAAATCAATCCACAAAGTAGATATTATACCAGTGTTACAAGTCTTCTACCTTCTGGCAAGAATGGAATAACTATGGTGCTTTCCACAGAAGGATATAATAAGGATTTTCTAGCAATAGGGAAGCCATACAGGCTTCTTTAATCATTGGGCGTGCCATTAATGTGCGTCTCCTCCAGAAGTGCTAAAGATAAGATGTACAAACATATATTAAGATAAAATCTGAATCTTAAATTTCTCAATAACAATCAATTTTGCATTTTACATACTCACATGATCTCCAGTGCCTGCTAAATGAATGCACGCAGGTCTGTGCTTGCTGTTCCATCTTCTGGGTATGATGAACTGAAATCTATGAGAAAAAAATACCCATTTTAGCAAAGTAAGTGTATCTATTCACAAGCTGTGCCACAGAAATTACTCAAACAAAACCAAAAAAGACAAAGTATTTTTCTAACCCATGCAGGGAAACTGCCAGAGATTCAGCAATATAAATACATACAACATATACATAAACACATACGACAAAGAAAGGAATCCAAAAGTAGAACAGAGTAAATCCCAAACAAGAAAAGGAGCCAAGCTGCAAGATCATGTCCCTAAAAAAGACCACTACCTCATCATCACTATTTAAATTTTGCAGACTGGAGAAATGGAACTTCAAATGAGGAGCAGCCTAAACAAGTATGACTAGCTCTCCTAGGCAGCATTACTATTTCTCTCCTGAGGCACAACAGCTGAAATCGAAGATTAAGATGAGCAATATATTTAAATTAAATAAATAAATAAAGTAAATCAAAACCCCAACATACAAACAATGAAATTATTCTACACACAACAGCAATTACTCAACGTCTTCTGCTGCTCCTCAAGTTATTTACAGTCTAACTACTGGGGGAAGGTGGGAGGAAATCACTTCTGAGCCACTAGTATTTCCCTCCCAAGATGAAGCACTGTTACCTACAAATATGCTACACTTCCAAAAAAATTATTCACACAATGCACAACGATCATAAGGGAAATGTGTAGAGCACTTCAAAGCTGCAATGATAGTGTCCAATGTAACAATTAGCACAATTTGACTACAAAATGTAAGGGAACAGAGATAAGGAAACAATCAGTATACTACATTTTCCAGTATGGTACTAATTAGTCCAACAATGTTAAAAGACAGTTTCTTCCTCTAACCCATGGAGAGGCGAAAGAGAATTAATGCTTTGCCTATCAAACTTTTTCTGACATTCCTTAGTGTTACATGTCTGACTGCACATAAAACCACCAACCAGCAATATTGATAAAATTCACAATGCCAGTATAAACCTGCACTGACAAACTTTTATGTTTAGTTTTTAAGTAACTAAACAAAGCTTGGGAAAAAACATCCACTACAAAAGTTTAGCTTAAAATGAAAAGGAAACAGAAATTATGCTCCCTTTTCTTCTGACTATTAGGGATAATCCAGCTTTCTGGATACTTTTGTATGCAATATTTTTGTATTCAGTGGATATGGAAAGCTGGAATTGTTCCTTCAAATATAATATGACAGACTTCTTTCATATAAACAGCTTCTCCTGCTACGTATAAAACAAACAACTACTGTCCTTCAATTCCAGCATCCCGCTCATCGGGGTGGAAAAAAAAATTATTTAAAAACCCCAAGGTATTCCAAAGCTTTGTGCAATAGGTTTTCTACACTAAAAAGGTTTGTACTTTCTAGGGGACTTCTAATTTATTTACACACTGATTAAACTATCACAAGAATTAAGATTTATTTTCATTTTTGAGATCAAAATCTATTTCCACACATTAGCACAAAAAAAAAACCTATTTCAACACATTAGTTTGAAATCTTTTCCAGAGATTCTGTATCACAATAAATTAGCTTCGCAATAAAACTACTTATAGACCATTCTTATTTCTCTGTAGTACTAGTTTCAGAAAGGAAATACCACTTGATTTCTCTCACCTTGCTACGAGAGATTCGACTGGCAGGATACCTGGGACACAATGAGCCAATGGGGAAACGAAGTGCCCCTCAAGGATTTTACAGTCAGATTGCTCCTCAACCTGCAGACAAAATGAGATGATAGCAAACATTTCAGAGAGTTTAACTTACTCTGAAAGCCAATCTCTTAAAACAGACAAATTTGGCATGGGATAAAAATGTACTTTAAAAAACCCCAAAGCTGAAGTCTGTTTCAAATAGGCATACACATTATTAACAGTCCAAACATTTGTTTCAAACTTTGCTTTTATTAAATTACCTGTTAAATTAATTAATGAGTAAAGAGTAATACTGTCCCATTTTAAATACCTTTCATAACACACACTAAGTTTTCAATATTTTTTGAGCTTTCAGATCTGACATCCCACACCCCAACTATTGTATTACTGAGGAAAAAATACAACAGTAGCTGTATAGCCACTGCTTTATTCTCTCAGTTTCATTCTCCACTAGCAGTCAACATAACTGCTCATTTTCCCATCCCTTCCAACCCCACTTCACTTTTTTGACATTGCCTCCCAATTCTATCCACAGCAGCTCAATAAAAAAAAGAAATAAAATAAAATCAACAAACTGTTAGAAGCTTTCAGTTTTCCACAGCATTGACCAGAAGTATATTTATCTGACTTTAGAACTACTTTTAATTTCTGATCCCCTGTGTACACCCTCTAGTTTTAATTCAGATATTAGGAAAATGTAGATTCACATGACATTAAGATTCAATTCTTCTACCCTATAAAAGCAGCCTGGTAAGTACTAAGTTAATTTCACCTTTATGTATCATCAGGAAAATAAACTTGGTTAAACTGCATCATGTCTTGCTTGTAAGTACCTTGTCAATGAACACTGGGTAATCTTTTGAAACCAGCGTCTGGCATTTTTCCCTGTTTCCAATAATCTTTCTGAATTCAAATATTCTGTTGAAAGGAAACAAGTAGAGAAGATTCAACTTTTAATCTAAAAAAAAGAGAAGATAGATGTATGAAATTTCAGGTGCTAAAGTAAACCACATAGAAAATAAAATTCATGAAGCCAGTTTTGCATTTACACATTAATCAGTTACCAAAGGGTAGGTATACAAGAACATTTTTTCAGTTAAAAAGAAAAACAAACCAAAACCAAACCAACTCAGGTATATTGCTTATGGTTGCACAGCTCTTAAATAGTATTTTACACCTGATATGTTGAAAAGTCATGTCATTTTTCAGACAAAGTAAGACATAGCTCAACTGCCCACACCAAAGTATTGTTGCCAATGGCCTGAGATCTAGCTGGAAACAAGTTCAAGGCAGGACTTAGGGAAGTTCCTGAATGACACAAACTGGAGGGTAAGGTTGATAGCTGGAAGGTAAGGCTACTATTAAGCGCCACCTGGGCAAGCTGGAGGAACAGGTCAACAAACATCCTAAAGCTCAATGATTAAACTGCAGAATCTTGCACCTAGGACAGAACAGCCCCATGCAATGATAGAGGATGGGAACTTCCCAGCTCTACAGGAAAACACACAGGGTTTCTGGTGGATGGCCAACTGAACATGAGTTAGCAGTGCGTCCTTGCAGCTGTGAAGACTATTTATACAGATGCAGAGTCTTACAGAGAAAACGAAACAAGACTCTTCTCACAGTTTTACAGCGAGAGGACAAGAGGCAATGGCTGTGTGTTACAACACAGGAAATTCCTACTGCAACAGAGTAAAAGATTTTATTCACAGTGTTTAAACACCAGGAAAGTTGCCCAGGGAAACTATAAATAATCTCCATCCACAAGGGATTTTTTTTTCCTAAATCAAATGAATGAGTTGCCAAATGACTCAAATCAGCTAAGAAGTTAGCTTTGTTTTGAATAGGCATTTGGACTAGATGCTCTCAGGATGGCCCTCTCAACCTTAAATACTCTATGCTAAGAATAGCTTGCTTGTTCTTATGATTGTAAATAAACACAACATTACCTGTCCAACTAAAAGAGCAGATTTGGATGGAAAGTACAGAACAATAGTATAATAGGAATGATCTGTTCCCCTTCCCAACACAGAGAAAACCAAACCAAAAGGAGGGAAAGAAAATCCAGTTTATCACCCCATCAAAAATAGCTCTATTGCCTTTGCTTTTCTTACACAGAACAGCAAGTGCATTAAGTATTCCTGAGAAAATAAGGGTAAAGATATGAAACATGAGTGTGGGCATAAACTAAATGCAGACATGCTTTGTTTGACACTCAGTTCTCCAAAAATACTGCATTTATGTATTTCCTCTGTAGTTAGGAGAATACTGAAGGCTAAATCTTGCATGTGTTAGAGGAATTTCAACTCTTTGCCAATGAGTCGAGGATGAAGCATTAGGGTATCAACAGTCATCACATCAAGGGTGTGCACACAGAACTCCAGATTACATGTAGGCAGGGTAGTCCATAATATCAGTTAATCTCAGTTAATGCTTGAAGATTAAGAAATTTAATTATTTATTCTAATGGAGCTTGACAGCAATTAGTTAAAAAAAAAAATGAGAAAGAATGCTGACACTGTTTCTGGCATGCATATAGGGAGTGGTGCTCCCTCCTCCCACTAGCCAGCGTGAGGAGTTGGGAGGAGGTGGTATTCTTCCTTCTTCAGGTGAATCCAAACTGTTGGGGAACAGCTCATCTCCTTCCCGTTCAGGAACAATACATAGAACAAATTCTTCTTCCACTTCCCAGATCAGCTGGCCAGGAAGCCTGCCTCACGTTTCCCCCACAGCTTTTGATCTCATGTGAGAGGCTCCCTCCCTTTCTATGAAAAACGAATAGCCAATACCATTATTACTACCAGCAACGCTTCCTTATTGCTGTTTGACATGTGTGAGTATCCTTATGGATCTCATGCAAATATAAAAAATAAAAATCAGCAAATATTTAAAAATTAAGAGCTAACTCCCTTCCTTCCTTCCTCCCTTCCTTCCGTCCTTCA